CAGCCCTCGGTCGAACCAGGATTGAGGAACTGCCTGTAAAGTCCCTGACCTGGTGCTTTTTGTGGTCGTGAAAAGCAAGTAAAATACTGAGGGGCTGGCCCAAATTGGAAAGCTCCGGGAGGTCGGGCAGCTTAACTCCAGTGTGTGGTCTTAAATATTTGCTCTGAAGCATTCATGGAAACATTGGTGAAAGATTAATCAGGTCTGTGGTTTAGTTAACAGTATTGAATCCATGTTACTTTCTTAGTTTGGTATATGGTAGATAAAATGCTAACACTAGGGAGAGTTGGCTGAAAAGTATAGGGAGTTCTCCTTTATCATTGTAGCTCTCTTGTAAATCTGAAATTATTTCTAAATTTATATATATACATATATATATAATAGCACAGTGGGTAGCACAGTGGGTAGGGCATTTGCCTTGCACACGGCCAACCCAGGTTCGATTCCTCCATCCCTCTCGGAGAGCCCATCAAGCTACCGAGAGTATCCCACCTGCACGGCAGAGCCTGGCAAGCTCCCCGTGGTGTATTCAATATGCCAAAAACAGTAACAAATCTCACAATGGAGGCATTACTGGTGCCCGTTCGAGCAAATCGATGAACAACAAGAGGACAGTGATACATACATACATATATATATATATATATATCAGCATGAATCCAGCTTTGCATGGTATACATTTTATGACAAAATAGGGAGGAAATGAAGGGGTGTAGCAATAGTAATTTGGGCATCAAACTATCAACCTTGTGGATCAGAACGTTAAAGACACATTGAGCTAGGAGAACTCTTTCTGTCCACCCAGCAAGGCCAGGCTACATCTGAGTCCAGCCGAGGACAGGAATGCCCAGGTGGTTGTTTCCATAAGACTTCCCAAAATTCAGAGAGTAGCGCGGACTCTCTTGTTGTTCTGCCTTGCTGTGGGGCTGTCCTCTGTGTCTGCACAGTGCTGGAAGCACACATGCACCCCAATGTCTCCTAAAGGAATGAAACACTTCGGTTGGTTTGATGAAGCACGTGTTTGAGAAGCGATAAGAAGCGAATTGTGTTTCGCACTGCCGTTTTTGCGTTTCTTCCCTCTTACTCACCCCTCAGTTTATTATAAACTTGTAGGCAGAAAGCTGCAAACTGTGAATGAGGCAAATTATCCAGATTCCTGTGAAAAAGTAATGTCTTTTATTTTTAAGTGTCTTTCCATTGCCACTTCTTAAACCTGACAATTATTAACTTGCTCAAAAATAGCTGCATTTCCCTATGCAAGGAAAGGACATGAAGGTGGTGGTGACCAGTGAGGACTCAGTAGTCAGGCTTGCTTTCAGTTCCACTTCTTCAGCCCTGCATAACTTCTAGCAATGGACTGTATTTTCTTTCCTTTCTCCTATAATAAGGAAACTTTCTAGGGGTGCTATTAAAAAAAAAAAACATTTTCAGAGAAATAGGTCAGCTTCTGGCACATGGTGAGCACTTTTGAAAGAGATGGTGGCAGTATATTTATTCAGCAAGCCTTATTGAATAGTTGCTACCTACAGCAAGTATGTTTAGTGCTGAGTGTACAGACCCATTCATTCTCTCCTTCCTATCCTCAAGGAAGTCTCTCTGATGAAGAAAATATAAGTTAAACCAGAGGGAGAAGAGCACCCATTCTCTCTGTTCTATCTAATAGATTATTCAACTGTTTATTGAGCACCTACTATATTTTAATGCATGCCTAAAACATGTTTGTTATCTGTATATAATTACATAAAGTACTACAGATATGGACTGGAGCAATAGCACAGCGGGTAGGGCGTTTGCCTTGCACACAGCCGACCCAGGTTTGATTCCTCCGTCCCTCTCGGAGAGCCTGGCAAGCTACCGAGAATATCCCGCCTGCATGGTAGAGCCTGGCAAGCTCCCCATGGGTATTTGTTATGCCAAAAAAACAGTAACAACAAGTCTCACGATGGAGACGTTACTGGTGCCTATTCGAGCAAATTGATGAACAATGGGAGGACAGTGCTACAGTGCTACTACAGATACATACACACAAACACTCATGTAGAGTGATCACAATTTACTCACAATTAACTTTGTGAAGTGTACATATTGCCCCCATTTTTCAAATGAGGAAACCAAAACTTCAAGAAGTTAAGTCATTTTCCCAAGATCACACAACTAAGTAGAGATCTAGGGTTTAAGTCCCAATCTACTTGACACCAGAGTCTCCCTTATCAGAACCAGATGGTGACAAATACAGTGTGTAAGAGCTCTGAGATTATAGGAGACCTTTGTGATAGCTTCAGTGACCTGGTTGACTTTCTGTGTTCCTTTGAAAGTCCCTAAAAGCCCAGGTGCCTGTTTTCATCTGTTACCTACAGAGCAGGGAGGTGAACATCTATTTTGTATACTTCGAAGTGACCAGAAAACATGTTTCGTCCTAACTGTCACAAGCAGTGGTCAAGGCTGGGCCTCCCCGAGCTACTTTTCTGGCCTCTTGCTCCCTCCTTTCTGGGAGGGGCATCCAGGCCTCTGTCCCAGTGTGTCCCCCAGAGCCGGGGGCCAGCTCAGAAAGTCACAGCTCCGCAGTGGCTCTTGGAGATGTTCAAACTTTACAGTGCTATTTGGAGAGTGGCCCCGACTTGTACTAAAACTCATCCTGTGATTATGGTTTAAAGTACAGCAATTATTGTACCTATTTCAGGATCTCTAAACACATCCCAGTGCCGCTTGCGCTGTGCTGTGAGTGGAATTAACATTTCCCTCTTTAAATGTTCTTTGAGCCCCTTGACTTCATTTGCTCATCTAGCTTTTCGAGAGTTCTAGAAACCTGCATGCGCATGGATGTGTAGGTCATGGTGTGATGTGTGGTTAGCCACAGAAGTGAAGTTGAGGAGAGAACAGCTCTCTTGAGTCATTTTGGAAAGCAAGTCAGGGCTGACCTGCACCCCTCCCGTCTGAGGGAACAGGTTCTTGCCTCAAGTCCTGGAGGCCAAGAACAGACCCCAGTGGGTTCCCCCAGGGTTAGACGGAGCCTGAGGACTTTCCTCACATGCACCTGCTCCTCTAGGTATTTTTTTATTTTTGGGGTGTGTGTGTATGTTTTAATTTGAGCTACATTAGTTATTTTTCTATTTTATTTTTGTCGTAGTTGAGAAGACATCGCTTCCAGCAGTGATAAATAATGTTTAGACTTTGGATGCACAGAAGTACTGCGTACCAGAGCCTGAATCTTCTTTTCTCCCTTCTTATTGGCTCTAGACCTCTGCTCTGAAAGGCAGGGCTGTGTGATGATGGCTTCCAGCAAGGAGAAGCTGACATTTCCCATCTCCTGTAGCCCAGGCAGTGGATGGTTTTAATCTCATTGCATGCTCCCAGCAATCTAAATGTGTCGGTGGATTAGCCTCACCCACATTCACAGATACGGCAGGTTCAGGGAAGTTCAATCATTTACCCAGGGGATTTGCAGTGCGAACATGGTGAAGCTGGAAATGGCTTTCTCCTGGCTTCACAGGTGTGCTCAGCCCTGGAGCTGCCGGCTCAGGAAGTGGGTCTGTTGTTCACGGTACCGCTGACTGCACACAGAGTGTGTGGAATCTGCAAGTGTGGATAGCGGATGAGCTAACTCACAGCAGCCTGTGGGCCATGGGCCCTACAGAGGTCAGCTTTGGAGTCAGAGACACTGAGGCTCACAAAGACTGAACTGGATGGCCCATGGCCAGTCAAGCTGGTTCTGGAGATGCCATCGGGTCCGCCCCCCACCCCACCCCCACCCCCCCAGACACCTAAAATCTCTCTGTCCTTCTGGTGCTGGGTGCTGCTGGGAGACATAGCCAGTTTCTGTCACTAAGACATTGTTTTTCATGTAAGTGTGATGCATAGGAACCAGAAGGCCGAGGGTACAAGCTGACACTTGTACCAGGGCTGAGTTTTCCTCTTCTATCTCGTGCATACTGAAAACATCCGAGTATTCTGTTTCCAGAGTGCATGCTGCGTATCTAAGCTGTAGATTCGGTATGACTAATATCAGAGAGGAAGGACATTAACTCTTGAAATAGAATGTCACTGTGTCCCCTGAATGAGTAATGAGGGGGTGCTGGGGATCGTTGCGGGGTGGCAGGGCCATCGAGTCACCGCCTGGTCATGAGCTCCTCAGCTGTGCCCCAGCCTGACTCCGGATGTAGGGAGTGGTTGCTTAGGAGACACTTAGAGCAGCCTAAGTTTTCACTCTTGTTTCTTACCTTAGAGAGCACATAAAATAAAGAGATCTAAATTGTGGAATAACTAAAATTCTGAAACTGTCATTCAAGTTAGACCCCACCAGTGGTGGTTGATTTTTTTGTCGTTGTTTGTGGGTTTTTTGTTTTGGTGGGTGTTTTGTTTTTTGTTTCTGCTGGTGATGTTGATTTGGGGCCACACTTGGTGCTGCTCAGGGGTGGTCCCTGGCTCCATGCTCTGGAGTGAGCCCTAGCAGCTCAAAAGGCATATTTTGGTGTTAGGGATTGGTGAACCCAGGTTGGCAGGATGCAAGGAAAGCACCTTAATGCCTGTACTAGCTCTCTGGCCCCACCAAGCTGGGTTGTTTTTTTTTTTTTCCCAACTTTAAAGTATCTTGGGAATGGGAAGATGGCTCCAAGGACTAGCATGCAAGTTTTGCATGCAGAAGCCCAGGGTTTGATCCCAGAGAATGCGTGGGACCCCAGGTATCACCTAGTTTGGCGCAAAAGCAAAAAGCAAACATAACCCCACCCCCCAGAAAAAAAGAGAAAAAAACCAAGAGGATTTGAAGTCTTTTTATCATCTCTCAGTCATTTCTTTTGATTTATTGCCACACTCATTCCATCAATACTTCTTACATACTTAATATTTGCTGAGTAATTAGCCAATACACTCTGGAAGCTAGAGTCCGCGCCCCCAGGGCCATGCTATTGACCTTGTTAGATAACCGCGCTGGAGGTGTTTTACAGAGGGTTTGTACAGCGTGAACGCGTAGGTGAGAGTAACATTTATTTCTGTCTCCCTAGATTTCGGTTTTGGAAACTTCTTTAAAAGTGGCGAGCTGCTGGCAACTTGGTGTGGCAGCCCACCCTACGCAGCCCCCGAAGTCTTCGAAGGGCAGCAGTACGAAGGACCACAGCTGGACATTTGGGTATTGCTTTGCTTTGCTGTGTTTGAGGCACCGATAAGGACAATATTTGGTTTCTGACTCACCTTTGAAGCGTCGGTTCCCTCCACAGAGGCAGCACTTGACGCTTTCCCTGTCTGCCGGGCTGGCATTATTAGCCTGAGCAGCTTGAATTGCACTTTGGAGAAGGCTTTCTAGGGACAGGCATTACCATCCAATTTTCAGCACCATTTAAGTCAAGTCAGAACCAGAAAGCATGAAATTCAGATCTCTTGGTATTTACTCTAGTAGACTTTATTGCAGTATTCGAGTTTTTTAGATTTTAGACTTTATTGCAGTACTTAGGTTCTGTAGATTTTTTTCCAGATTTTTTTTTTAAATCACTGGGCAATGATACAATCACAAAATTGTTCATGATTGAGTTGCAGCCATACAGTGTTCCAACACCCATCCCTTCACCAGTGTACATTTCCCACCACAATGTCCCCAGTTTCCCTCCTGCCTGATCCTCTCTCCCCTGTCTCACGCCCCCCACACCTGCTAAAATGCCTATGTGGTAGGCATTTTTCTCTTCTCTCTCTCTCTCTCTCTCTCTCTCTCTCTCTCTCTCTCTCTCTCTCTCTCTTCCCTCCCTCTCTCCCTCCCTCCCTCCCTCTTTTCCTTTAGGCACTGTGTTTTTGCCAATACTGTTACTGAAAGGGTATCATGCATATCATTTTACCTCCTTTCAGCACTCAGTTTCTGTCCAGAGTGTTCATTTACAACTATCAAAATTCAAAGAGGAATGTTTCGGTCTATTTGACTTTAAGAGCCCTGGCGATGGAGGTCTAGGAAGACAAAAAGCACAGTTGAAGTTCCCAGGAGAAAGTGACTGTGATTTTCTTCCCTAGAGCATGGGAGTTGTTCTTTATGTCCTTGTTTGTGGAGCTCTGCCTTTTGATGGACCAACTCTTCCAATCTTGAGGCAGAGAGTTCTGGAAGGAAGATTCCGGATTCCGTATTTCATGTCTGAAGGTAACAGCTCATTCATCTCACTTATGAATTGCGCTTTATAGCATCTATGCTCCACATGAAATGCCTTGGTAAAAACTTTCTTCTTTCTAAGAATTCGGATGTCAAATAAAATGACTTAATGACTTTTAAAATCATATAAATAATCCCTCCACTCCGTGTAATTGATGAAAGTTTCATTCTTCCCACTCTTGCCTGAAAGCAGAAAGTTTCCCACAGTAATAACAGCAAATTTCCCCTTTACTCTTGGTTTAGAAATGTTCCCGGTTTACTTTAGACTTTGAGAAGCACTTTGAAAGTACAGATCTACAGCCGTTTTACTTTAACTTTGAAATGGACTGTCCTATAACCTATGGCAGGAAGTTGAAAAAATGAGTAAAACCACCTGGAAGAACTGTTGAATGAAAATGGAATGTCTTGGTCTCTAAGCAGTCCTGTATGGGTTGCTAGATAAATGCCAGTCCAGTTTACTCATTACCCTTCACTCTTTCATTTATAAATAAAAGTAAAAATCATGCTCTAGCAGTTAAGAACAAGAACCTTTGAACCAAACAGTCTGGTTTGATTTGTTTTTGTTTTGGGGGCACACCTGGTGGTACTCAGGGACTACTCCTGTCTCTGTACTCAGGGATCACAGGCTTGGGGATACCATCTGGGACGCCAGAGATCAAACCTGGGTCGGCTGCATTCAAGACAAGCACCCTACCCTCTGTATTCTCCCTCTGGCCCCAAATGATCTGGTTTGAATCCTGAGCCCACCACTCGCCGGTGGCCTGACTGTGGCAAGTTTCATCTCCTCTCTGTAGTTCCACTTCCTCGGTCAATAAAGGAGAAATAATGATGTGGTACAGATGAGTGACGTTGCTTTGTATAAGGCTCTTAGAACAGTGCCCTGCATATAGCACGTAACAGAAGGTTAGTGTGTGTAAGTCTGGAGGGAGCGGGGGAGTGTGATTAAAGAGCATAATGTCGGCTTAGAGAATAGTCTAGTATCCAAAGCTTAATTCTCGCTGTTTTCTTAGCATCGTCAGGAGTAAGTGAGGTCTCACAAGCGTTGTCTTAGGTGCGCTGATAGGATGGAGACCAGAAGTCTACTGGAGCCTCTTCCCCGGCTTACAGAGCTTAGGAATGACCGAGGATCCATTTGCAGTTTGCTTGCTCTAAGAATTAAGGCTGTTTTTTCCTCTTTAGTAGAAATCTAAGTCTCTGTCTAGGTATTTTTCCCTCGAGAATTTGGTAGAAACTTTCCTTTAGCACGAATTGCATTGACCTACACTCTCCTTTTTTACAGTATTTATCCACGGCGGTGGTTAATTTCCACGTGTCAACATTTACTGTATGAACTTGACAAATATAAGTAGCTCTCACGTCTCCCTTTATTCTTTTGACCTTCCTCCCAATTGTGGAGGACAGAGAGATTAAGGCTGGTAGAGTCACACGAGTCATGTGAATAGCCCGAACTTACAAGGTGATTTGTGTGACCTCTGTAACATTGTGTTTTCCGTAGACTGTGAGCATCTTATTCGAAGGATGTTGGTCCTTGACCCATCTAAGCGGCTAACCATAGCTCAAATCAAGGAGCACAAGTGGATGCTGGTGGAAGTTCCCGTACAGAGACCCATTCTCTATCCTCAAGGGCAGGAAAACGAACCATCCATCGGGGAGTTTAATGAGCAGGTTCTGCGATTGATGCACAGCCTCGGAATCGACCAGCAGAAAACCATTGAGGTAAAATGATAGTGATCTGACTGAAGATATGGTCAGATTCTGTTGCATTTAGTAATGTGTGGTTTCATGCTCACACCTGTCATCCTGGGCTGGTACCACTGGCATCGCCGGCACTGACGCACACTGTTCAGTTTTCCCGGAAGATTACATCTGACTCTTGCTGTTGGCTTTTATGCCATGTATAAATTCCTCCCTTTGCCTCATATGCCAAGAAACTCATGTTGAGGAGCTTCTTTGGGAATGAGAAATGGCAAAGGTGGAAGCTTGACAAATACGAAGTATAGATCTTCTTCCAGGATGAAGCAAAAAGTTTTATGTAAGAAATAAACTAAGAGTGAGCATCAGTGTGCAGGCATAAAACAGGACTGACAGTTGAACGGAAAATTAGGGAGGTATTGGGTTTAGGAAATCCAGGGCGGTTTATATTATAAACTAAAGAAATTGAGGAGGCAAAAAACAATGGATCCCACATCAGGAATTGTGGGTCATATTATGAGTTACAGAACTGAGACGGTCATGAATTAAGTCCTCAAATTATATTCCTTTGCCTTCCCTGTAGCCATAAGTGAAACCAGGCTGGTGGCTCCGTTTTAATCCCAGGTGCCCACTGCTTCTTTTGGGTAACTTTTCCACAAAGTAGATCCACAATCTTGCCATGCCAATATCACTGGCCAGGAACCTAAGCGTGTTCCCTGAACAGTGCTCACCACAATATCCAATAGAATCAGAGGTCAGGGGAACCATTGTTTCTCTGTTCCACTCATGGCCTGCAAGAGCTGGCCAGTTCAGGATACGAAAATTTGGGAAGCAACTTTATTTTCAAGGTTTTGAGAGGGTGGGACTACAAAAACAAGAGGAAAAAATTACCCAAGAATGGAGACACAGTGTCTCTCGATCTAGCATCCAAATGCCCTCCTCCAGCCCAGAATCATCGTCAGAAATTTCCCCAATGAGTAATCATTCACTTCAGAGCCCTTGATGGTTTGGACTTGTGTTGAGACTTGGAATTGGAGCCACAGGGCTCAGGTTGCTGACTGACCGTCCACGGGGCTGCGGCTGAGCTGCCCACGCCGGCACAAGGGATTGTCTGCAGGGGACAGTGGCCGCATTTCTCTGAACACGCATGAAATGGGTTCTAGTAATGTAAACAGGTAGATCCTAGTTAAGATCAGGTCATGAAAAAGTACCATGCTGTTTGCCCTTCTAAATTTCAGAACTGGGGCTGGAGCAAGAGTACATCAGGGAAGGCTGGGTTCAGTCCCCGGCATCCCATAGGGTCCCCCGAGCACAGCCAGGAGTAATTCCATAGTGCAGAGCCAAGAGTCAGGAGTAACCCCTAAGCATTGTCGGGTGTGGCCCAAAAAGCAAAAAAAAATAATAATAATAAAAAATAAATTCCAGAACAGCTTTCGTTTTGCTGCTTCTTTGCCCTGCCTTCAAGAATGCTTCATTTGTTCCTGCTTTTTTTAGAAAGGTGCGGATCATTGGATCAGAGTTTCTGGTTCTCTGCCTTCACCACTTGTTTTCTCTTTTAGTCTTTGGAGAACAAGAGCTATAACCACTTTGCTGCCATTTATTTCTTGTTGGTGGAGCGCCTGAAATCACACAGGAGCAGTTTTCCTGTGGAGCAGAGGCTTGATGCCCGCCAGCGTCGGCCTAGCACCATCGCTGAGCAAACAGTTGCCAAGGTAACGCCCCATTAGCCAACAGTCTTATCTGTGCAGGTGCCTGTTCACATGTTTGACACATTCATCTTGCAGTACAAAGGGTTAGGATTTTATTCTCTACACAGTTCCTCTGTAAAGTTTCTGCCTCCGTCATTCAGTAGATTCTCAGATGGTTTAGTGCCTTCCTGTTTTTAAGGATTACCTTTATTTCAAATAACTTTTAGATTTTTTAAAAATCATTCTCTCGTGTTGGGGAGTCATGTAACTAACATGTACATTCTGTTCCTTTGAACAGATAACCTTTACTGTCTATTTACCGGGCTGGAGCGATATCACAGCGGGTAGGGCATTTGCCTTGCAAGCGGCCAACATGGCCGACCCGGGTTCGATTCCTCCGCCCCTCTCAGAGAGCCCGGCAAGCTACCGAGAGTACCGCGCCCGCGCGGCAAAGCCTGGCAAGCTACCCATGAAATATTCTATATGCCAAAAAACAGTAACAGAAAGTCTCACAATGAAGACGTTACTGGGCCCGCTCGAGCAAATCAATGAACAACGGGAGGACCGTGACAGTGACAGTCTATTTACCATGTTCAAACCACCTTTTTCGTCATGATAGCAGTATTTCAAGTAGCCCTTCCCTAAGGCAGTACAGAGGAGGAGAGAAATAAGACACCCTCCTAAGTAGTCATAGACACTGCCGAAGAGCTCAGGGCAAGAGGAAAAGAGATACAACTGAGCAGGAAAGGGCGAGTGGACACGAAGGGCCTCCTTAGGGAGAAACCGTCGGGACAGGTGTGGTGTGTAAGCGAAGAAACAGCACGAGTGGAAGTGCCTAAATGCGCGGGCAGAAGGCTTGTTCGAATCAGCTACTCAGATTGAAGCGGGAGGACATGAAAAAGTTGTGGGCAGTTGAGGCCGTGGTGTGAGACTGTGGATTCCACAGAGCAGAGTTTCCTTGAAATGCAGGAAATGGTAGAGGCTTTGAAGCAGAAAAGTGAGTTGGTTTTATCTGTGCTCAACTCTCACTGATCCGGTAGCAGTGGGGAGCAGAGACTGGATAGGTAAGAGAAGGAATTTAGAGAAGTTAGATTATTGCAATGTTTTCGGATGAAAAATGGGTCAGAATGAGAGGAGCAAGCTCTAGGCACTGGCCGTGCATGCAGCCTACCCCAGTTCAGGGTGTTTTGCTTGGTTTGATTTGTTGGGGGCAGTCCTGGGGCTCTGAGTCCATGCCCCATGATACTTGGCCCGCCTGTGTGGGCCTGGGGGTTCTGTGCTCAAGCCCAGAAATATCACACTTCCTGAGCTCAGCAGCAGTAGAACCCACAGAGATGGCCTCAGTAGTGCTGGAGGCCCGGCTTGTGGTTCAGGAACAAAACCCAGGGCCTCTCTACACAGGACACTTTGAGCTATCTCCCTGGCCCCTGGGTTTGATTTTTAATAATGTGTTTTGTTCCAGTTTTATTGAGACATAATATATATCACAGCCTAAGCTTAATGTGTACAGCATAAAACCACTGTTGTTTGGGGGACGCAATTTTTTGTTTGTTTGGGGGCCCCACTAGTGGAGCTTAAAGACTACCCCCAGCTCTGTGCTTGGAAGTCACTCCTGGGCGTGCTCAGGGGGACCCTGTGATGCCAGAGATAGAATTCATGGCTCTGGCCTGCAAACCATGTGCTCCAGTCCTGTGACTGCTCTCCCTGCGGGAAACCATCAGTGTTCACTAGTCCCCCACTCCAAGGACTGAACAGATAAGTAGGCAAAGAGATAGTGCAGCAGATAAGGCCCAGGTTTGAGCCCCAGCATCCCATTTGGTTCCCTGAGCCTGCCAGAAGTGATCCCTGAGCACAGCCGGGTGCAGCGCATCACCCTGCGCCCCCTCCCCCCCCCCAAAAAAAAAGTGAAACTCTCATCCCAGTGTTTTCTAGGATACTATTCAGAGGTTGCAAGTAAAAGCAGTATATTTGTCTGCTGGGGCTTTTCAGATTGGGTACTCAGACAAGAAAAATGTGTTTCTCACAGTTCTGGAGGCTACATGTTCAAGATGAAGGTGCCATCGGGGCGGGTTCCTGGTGAGAACTTTTCTGGCTTCCCGACAACTGCCTTCTCAGCATGTCCTCATAGGACCTTCTCTGCATGCATGGAGAGAGAAACCTCTTGTGGCTTGGCCTCTTTGTAGAGGGACATCACCCTGTCATACTCGGGCCTCACCCTGGTGACCTCTTTGCACCTTAGTTACCTACTTAGAGATCATGTCTCCAGTTTCCTGGGAGTTCTAGGCCTTCAGCAGGAAATAGTTCTGTCCATAACAAGCGTATCACTTGCAGCAATAAAGCTTTCTCCTTGGAACAAGACATTATTTCCACCCCACTAGTTTTGAGAAGCACAAAATCAAGAGCAGAGATTCAAAGCACTAAACGCATGACTTTAAAAAGTCACTACTGGGGCTGGAGCGATAGCACAGCAGGTAGGGCGTTTGCCTTGCACATGGCCGACCTGGGTTCAACTCCTCGCATCCCATAGGGTCCCCCAAGCACCGCCAGAAGTAATTCCTGAGTGCATGAGCCAGGAGTAACCCGTGTGCATTGCTGGGTATGACCCAAAATGCAAAAAAAAAAAAAAAAAAAGTCACTACAGTTGGTTGGACACCATCAGTGTTTATGACCCCTCGGGGGAAGCCGGACCTCCCTGCTCCCTGAGGATACTAGTCAGCCTTATCGGAGTGTCACCACCCTTGAGTCAGCTCAGTGGCACTGCAAGTGCAGTTGTCACCACCTACCTTGTTCCAGAAGGATCTTTGACCCTAAGAGTACCAGAACCCAAAGATGCAGGCCCCTACCCTAAGGCCTTCCATCTTAGTCAGTGAGCTGCTCGTCCTTATACCACAGGCCTCTGTCCTCACATGGCCCACAGTTGCCCGAGGTGAAAGTTCTCAGGAAAATGTGCTGCTGTGCCTGGCATGGCCCTGCCTGTAGAAAGCCCCCCTGGCGTGCCCAGGCTGTGCCCACGCAGGCCAAGAACTTTTATGACGCTATCTGTCATCTGGCACATTTCTCTGTCACAGTCGTGGGCTCACAGGCCTGAGACATGGAAATCTGAGTTCATCTGAACCTCTGAAACCCGATAATGAGTATTCCAAGAAAAATAAGCATACATTATACATTGTTAACACCATCGGGTAAATAACGTTAATGACTCATGCTTGATGAATGATAGTTTTTTAAAAACTCTTAATCATGCCAGAAGAATATTGTCTTTTTGTCGTTTGTTGTTTTTCTTATCCATGTAATACCAATGATTTCCTGTTGCTATTTTAGTCTCTATCACCTGCTGTATATCTAACGATATTAGTATTTGAATATATCAACTGTAAATATATTCCAAATATATTCAAATATAAAGCATATTTCTAACATTCTTGAAAGTCATCAATCTGAAATTTTAACTGGAATCATTAGCAAGTGCACGTGCCTTTATTTTGCAGTCAGGTTCGTTTTTGAAAGACTTGTGATCATTTGAAGGCTTTAGGAAGCAGGGGGAAGGAGGATTTTGCAGTCCTGAGTGAAGGCCCTCCATTGCCCTTTAATACTGGTGAAGAAGCAAAGGCCAATTGGCTTGGCAGCTTCATCAAGGTCACACCATCAGTGATGGAGGCAGGAATCAAACTCAGGACTTGGGAGAGAGAAAAGCACCCAAAATCATATTTTTTTTTGGTTCCTTTTCATTTATTTGCATTTCAAATTCACCATCTTACATCCTTTAAAGTGATTACAGAATTAAGAATATAGTTCATCCCTCCGCCTCTTAGAGACTTAAAGAAAGATTATTCCCACAGATGTTTGCAAGTATCTGTTCTCGTTCAAAAGGCATCTCATAAATTATTCTGCCAGATTTGAAGAGACGATGAGGAAAAGATTCTTCATCCAACAGCTCCATCTTGAAAAATCCTGATCAGTTGTCAGGAGGTTCTCCTTTAAGGGATTTTTTTTTTTCTTCACCAGTATATAAAGCTTGTTGACTTGGAGATTTTAACAAAGATGTGAGGAATGGACCTGGATGTGAGAAATGGAGCCAGTATTTCGTGTCAGGAAGAAGTTAATTCACCTGCAGCAAGCATCCTCCAGCTGCACGCAGGCAGGCTTTTGCCCTCACAAGACACTGCTCTCTCTCCCTTCCTCCCCTTCAGCCATCCCCCTGCCCGGAAAAATATTCCATCTCCCCCCACTCAGAGTCAGGAGAGAAGAGTCAGGGTGCAGTGCATTCTGGTTTCAGGGTGCAGTGCATTCTGTTAGTTAACTGTGTGTGTTTGTGTCTAATCCTGGCTCTTTTGGGTTTTCCTGGAGGCAAGGCCTTTCCTATTTTTTTTTATCTCCTTCCCCGATAATATGTCTACCGAAGTAGACAAGCTATGTATGTTGATTTGGAAGAAAAAGAAAAATAGGCATGGCCTTTGATTCCTTGCAAAGAAAAAGGGGGGCGAAAAAAGGCCTTGTCATCTCTGTGAAACGTCTGCACCTTATTCTGAAACAGGAGAAATTCTGGGCAGCCGATCTGAGAATCAGATGGCAGAGACTGCTCAGACTCAGGCCTGTCCCATGCGTCACTCCCATCCATTCTTCGCCAGGATTCTAGCAAATGACAGTCCTTTCATCGCACCGGGAGGGATTACTTTACTCCAAGGATTTTGTGTGTTCATGATGAGAGTATTCGATATGCCAAACACGGTAACAACAAAGTCTCCAATGGAGACGTTACTGGGCCCGCTGGAGCAAATCGACGATCAACGGGAGGGCCTTTACCTTTACCTTTTACCTTTATGTTCCCAACTGTCCGTTCTTGCCGCATTTGCAGGCACAAACCGTGGGGCTCCCGGTGACCATGCATTCGCCCAACCTGCGACTGATGCGGTCGGCCCTCGTCCCGCAGGCGCCCAATGTGGAGGCCTTTCCCTTCCCAGCCCCCGGCTGCCAGGCAGAAGCAGCCTTTATGGAAGAAGAGAGCGTGGACACTCCAAAGGTACAGTCACATCTGAGAACTGCAGGGTGGCTGGACTCTACCCTTTAGCCCAACAGTGTTGGGCTTTGTACTTCCTCCGGTCACTTCCGAGGGCTGCTTTTTTAAAAGACCCCAGCAGGAAAAATACCCTGGTCTCCACTTGAATCTCATCACTTTTTGGTGGTGGGAGGAGGGGTGTGTGTGGAGGGTGGGGGATGGAGGGGGCAGGGAAGGGCAGGAAATGGAGAAGATTGGGCCACACCCAGCAGTGCCTGGGGCTTACTCCTGGCTCTGTAGTCAGGGATCACTCCTAGTGGTGCTCTGGGGATCATAGGTGGTGACAGGGCTTGAAGCAGGTTAGCTGCCTTCAAGCAAGCGCCTGCCCTGCTCTCCTGTCTTGGTGGCCCCTCATCACCGTCTCATCCTTATGACTTACGCAGCCTGTTAACATACACTGGATCATTTTCATAGGCATAGTTCATAGTCTTGCAGTTTTTTTCAGACTGTCTTTGTTCTTTCACTAGCTGGGTAAAGTTGAACAAGATGACTAACTCCTTTGAACCTCAGTTTTCTCTTGTGTAAAATCGGAGGACCAATTTTATAAGAGAGTTGTGAAGACTAATTGGGAAAATGCATATGGCTCTGGGTGGATTTTAGATACGTAATAAATATCGCTTTCCTGTATTTGGGGGCCTACTAAGGTAGTAAAAACGATGAGTCAGATATCATTTCTGCTTTAAAGTCTAACAGAAGAGACACTGCATAACCAAAGGCACTGCCAGGCACTAAAGAATGATCTAATCGGCGTGCTCCAAGAAGAGAAGGGGCTGCTCTAGCAGTTTGAGCAGGCAAGCCTGGGTAACTGGCACAGCTGGGAACTGGAACATGGGCGGATCAAGGTGGGTGGGGAACCGGCTTTGATGTTCCAGAACAAGGGAAAGCTGAGCCACAGGATATGTGAGAAAAGCCTCGGTCCTAGGGGCTGGAGCTGTAGTCCCGCCAATCTGCCTTACAAGACATTTGCCTTGCATGCGGCGACTCAGGGTCAGTTCCCGGCATCCCACCATCAGGAGTGACCTGAGTGCAGAGCCAGTTAGTAACTTCTGAGCACCACTAGGAGACCCCAAAAATCAACCAATCAATCAATAATGAAATTTTAAGAACGAAGTTGGGTCAGTTTAGAAGTAAAATGTTTATCTAGAACATGGCCAAGCAGCTTCATGCCAGGCTGCCACGGGCAGGTGTAGACCATGTCATTGACCAGGAGACGTTTGTGCCCTTGCCTCTGAGGACAAGACCACTTCCTGTGGACAGTCCATTCTCTCTGCTGGTGGCTGCCAAGTGGGTTCCGCGCCCTCAATATAACTGCTCCTCCACCCTCCCCCAGAAACCCAGACATCAATTGAGGCCACATAATTCATTTACTTTTAAGATTTAATTCCCTTGAAAAAAAATTAAAATTCAGTCTGCTAAAAGCTTGTCTGTGAGGGCATCGGGCCCAAAACACAGATTGGGCACTGTCTGCTGAATTATATAGGGCAATCTATTTTTAAAGCTTGTGATTGTTACCGTAACTAGGAAACAGACAGGAAATGAATGCTTTTGTGAAAGATAGAGACAGGAGCTCGCTGGTGCATTTGCATTTGTAGGAGAGAGCAAGGCCATGCTGGAGCCAGCCTTGTGGGTGGCCCACACTGACAGTGCCACCTCGGGCCGTGGTCAGGCCAGATACCCACCAGTCTGCCCTGTGTGCTGGTTCAATGGGACAACAGAAAGGCTTCTCACTCTTCCCTCCCTCGCACCTTCTCCGTGGGGCCTGTATATAAATGCCCTCGCTCCAGACTGTCAGAGAAACCAGCAAGTTCCTTTGTTCCTGGTGCTTCCTGCGCACTGACTCCAACATCCAGCCGCTGTTTTGGAACGGAGCCTCCTGCCTGCCCTGACACTTGTTTGCTTTCACGCACAGGTGGTGGCAGGTCGGTGCTGGCAGATCTGTCCCCTCTCCTGCCTTCTCACAGTCTGCCGTGTGTCCCTTCCACTGCCGGGTGAAGCCCTGCTCTCAACCCTAGGCTTGGGGCTCCTCCCAAGTGAGCACCTGTCTGAGGCCGTCACCCCACTCCACTCAGAAACAGACCCGCCCAGGTGACACAAGCAGACCGTGGGGGCGGGGCCAGTCATCGCCTTTGGGGGTTTGGGGGAATTGCGAACATCTCCGATTCGCACCCTATTTCAGTCTCATTCAGGGGATTTTACAAAAGGGTTTTTCAGCTTACCACATTCAGAGCAGGAAGGCAAAGGAACTAGGAGACTAAACTGGGAAAATGCAAAGGGAGTGGAGGTATTCCCCATTTAGCTGTGTTCAATAGCCTCCTATTATAATGGCAGTTCACAGGAAAGGAGGTCGGAAAGCCATACTACATCAGACTCAAGAGTACGAAGCGCCAGGCAGCGGTTAAGTTGCGCGCCTTGCATGCAGCCAACCACCATTCCGTCCCAGCACCACGTGACCACCCCAGCTTCTCTGGACGTGGCCCCAGAGACCCCCCAAGCACAGCCAGGGACAGCCTGGGTGTTCCTGGCTCTCCAGGGCACCAATGCCACATCCTCAGGCCCTTGCAGTTGAATCGCTGACCCTGTTGGCCAGGCGTCAGGAGGAGTGGCCCCTGACCAAGACATACTCCTGACCCACCTTCCATCTCCAGCACTGCCTAAGGCTCCCTGAGACCGGCCAGCAGTGATCTCTGAGAGCAGAGCCAGGAATAAGCCCTGAGCACTGCAGGGTGTCCCAAAGGGGAAAAAAAAAAGTACCCTTGAGCTTTTAGAAAAGACAGAAGTGATATAAGTTAGAAAATGTCCAATGATGATATCCATCTTGTATTTGAAGTCCCTAATTTACAGTTCACTCAGGCTCTTTTCTTGAAGTGAAAGATCTTTCTAGCAGCCCAGGTCTCCTAGAGATTAGCCCAGTATTTCAGTAGCAAACCCGAGAGCCCAATTTAGACTCTTGTTATACCAAGTCCCTGGGTAGCAAATTGGCAGGCAGGGGTGGCGTGATTATCACTTGTTTCAGGAAATGATCTTAGAGCTGAAGAGTTCGCACCTATTAACTGTGGGCAGGCCCCCTCTGTGCTTTCCGATTCAATCACCAGACATCTGAACACCCCAAAACTGAAATCAGCAGTTTTTAATAAAAGACATCAGCTCTCTCTCTCTCTCTGTCTTTCTCTCTCTGTCTCTCTCTGTCTCTCTCTCTCTGTGTCTCTCTCTGTCTCTCTCTCTCTCTCTCTCTCTCTCTCTCTCTCTCTCTCTCTCTCTCTCTCTCTTATTTTTTATTGTTTTTGTTTTGGAGTCACACCCATTGGTCCTCAGGGCTGATTGCTGGCTCTGTGCTCAGGGTGCCGGGGATCAAACCCTGGTCTCGCTTTCCTGTCACTCCAGCCCAACATCATTTCTCTTTCATTACAAAAACAAGGAGAGAAATTCGTAAGGAGACAGTCTGAGGGAAACCTATATATAAATCTATCTGTTTTGTTTGGGGCCTCCCAAGTGTTGCACAGGGGCCCCATGGACAATTCTGAGCCAACCAGGCCTGCAGCTATTCAATGCAAGGGCCTCAGGGTACATCTGCTTCCACTCCCAAGTGCCAGGGATTCCCTGTGGTGCTGGAGGTTGAGCCCAGGTCTAAATACTGTAGTATCCCCCAGCCCCTTAAGGGGACTGACTCAAGGCTCTTTTGACTACCCAGAAAGCAAGAAAACCCAGAAAAGAGAAGAGGTGACTTTTCTCTGTTAAGGAAAACAGAACCCGGTTGTAAGATTATTCTGTGGAACATGTGTGATGCCATTTCACCATAGTCTGTCAGTGTCAAGAGGCTCAGTAGGTAAATACATAATGTGGCTTTATTCATTTCTAAATTACCTCTGGATAATATTAGCATCTGTAGACAGCTGGAGAACCAGGAGGTATAAAAATTAATTTCCAAGCAGTCATTTTTTTCTACAAGAAAACTCTTCGTCGACAGTGAGAAAACTTTGGCTGGGGAGATAACTTAGTGGCATGTGCTCAAACCCTGGCCTTCCACAGTCCCACTGAGCACCGCCAGGTGTGGCCCTGGGGCCCATGACCCTTGCCAGGAAGGCCCCCACACCTCTGACCCGAAATTTAAAAACAGAAAATGTATCTGGGGGCTGGCCAGAGGAGCAGTTCTCAGAGATTTTTGTATTCAGGTGCCCCGGGAAGGTGGATGTTGGACTGAGAAGACAGCACTCCTCCCTTCCTTGAACATGACGCACACAGTTTCAACCCGGAGAGGATTAGCTGCCTCATTCATCCGTGGCGGCAGCCCCAGAACAGTTTGGTGGAATAGCCATCCCCTCCCCCAGGCACCCGAAGGTCTGAGTCACGGCATCTCCCTCTCCAAATACGGGGCCTGCCAAGCCTTCCAATTGGTTGCCTTAAGAGGGAAGTTTCCTGTGTCTGGCACCGGGATGGCCCACGTCACCTCTCCAATCCATGAGCTCCTCACGCTTCCAAAGGCAACAAGCGCTCTCCCAGCACGTTCCAGGTGAAAGCCGGGCGAGGGCCAGCGTGCAGCTGACTGGCTGGTCCTGAGCAGCTATTCAGAGGAGAAAACAGATTGATTTCCACAGGGGAATAGTTTAGGTAATGAGGTAAATAATTGCCTGCTCACTGGGGCTTTTACCAGCCAGAGGACTCCCAACCACAACTCCCCTCTGTCTGCAGTTCCTGCCCTTCGGTGGTTGGCTTGGCGATTGCCAAGGAAGGCCGAGTCCTCACTCCGGGCCGCACCCAGCGGTCCCACTGCGGTGGGAGCTGCAGAGATGGTGCGTGTGCCTGGAGGAGACAGTTCAGCACGCTGGCGCTCATTAACCTCTGCAGGAATTTGGGGCCTGTGAGTCATTTGTTATTCTATAATGGAAGGTCTTGGCTCTTTGCCATTTGAGGGTTTTTTGGTTGTTTTTTTTTGGGGGTGGGGGGCATTTTTTTTCTTTTTCTTTCTTTTTTTTCCTTTTCTTTTCTTTCTTTTTTTTTTTTTTTTTTTTTTTTTGCCAACCCTTCCTGTGGTATCAGTCTGTCTTGAAAGAATTCTTTTTTTCCATTCCCCAGGCACATCGAGGCAATTAAAGATTAATTCAAATGGGCAGGTACTTAAATTACACACGTAGAAGTATGTCTAGAACCTTCCAGTGTGTTTTGTGGTTAAAAATCAGAGGAAAGCCAATGACTACTCTTTCTCCCTAGCTACAAGCCATGCTGTTTTGTTGTTTTGTTTTTAATTTCATCAGTCCCCTCTTAATTTTTCTATGTAAAAAAAAAAAAGTATCGGGTAGGCCTCAGGCTGATGGGCCCCACTTCATCTGGAAACCACTAGCACAATTGTTTATTGTACTGATGGTGACTCAGAGGGACCCGGAGCCGGAGCCAGTTTGGATCATAATGGGCTTCTGTCTCTGAGTGCTACGCTTGACTTGCCTTGACTTCTAACCTCCGCGCTGTCCTTGGTAGAAAATAAGCACATTTTTAATCCTTTACCTGCTTTCCAGTTGGCCATATCTTCCTTCCTGGGTTTTTCCTGTGCTCAGCGGAGAACCGCAGCTCCCTCCCTCCCTCCCTCTGACACCCACTCTTGCACTGCGTCCAGGTCAATGGCTGTCTCCTGGACCCGGTGCCTCCTGTCCTGGTGCGGAAGGGCTGCCAGTCCCTGCCCAGCAACATGATGGAGACGTCCATTGACGAAGGCCTGGAGACTGAAGGCGAGGCGGAGGAAGACCCGAGCCAGGCCTTTGACGCCTTCCAGGCCACGCGCAGTGGGCAGAGGCGGCACACTCTGTCCGAAGTGACCAATCAGCTGGTCGTGCTGCCTGGCTCAGGTACGGAGTCAACTGGGTGCCAGGCTGAGTCCGTCCCACATCTGCTCACTGCCCTCTCCAAAGAGGGAGATGGGCTGACCCCAGTTGGTTCCTGCATTTTGCGCCTTGATGGAGCATGTCCACTGTCCAATAAGGGCTTCGCGGTAGCTCCCAGGAGCCCGTGGAACGCAGTGATTCACCAGGGACGGGCGTGATTGTGGAGGTGAAGGCCCTGTGGGGGCAGGCTTGGGAGGGTTAACCCCCTATAAGTTCAACAGCAAATCGATGGCCAAGTTAAAAGACTCTGTTGTGGTTGAGAGTGAGAGTGTTGTCGCTGGGAAGACACATCCCAAGCGCAGACAAGCCGCTTGCTTCACTGTGGGGGGACTGTAACGGTTTCTCTTCCACAGGGAAAATGTTCTCCATGAGTGACAACCCCTCCCTGGACAGCGTGGACTCGGAGTATGAGATGGGCTCCATTCAGAGGGACCTGAACTTCCTGGAGGACAACCCTTCCCTGAAGGACATCATGCTGGCCAATCAGCCATCACCCCGCATGACGTCTCCCTTCATAAGCCTGCGACCTGCCAACCCAGCCATGCAGGCTCTGAGCGCCCAGAAACGGGAGGCCCACAATAGGTCCCCAGTGAGCTTCCGAGAAGGCCGCAGGGCGTCGGACACCTCCCTTACCCAAGGTGACTGTCTGCCTCCGGCTTCACCCCCTTCCTGCACTGCCCCAGGCAGCACGTGGCCACGCTGCTATCACACCTGTGGACTTGAAAGATCTCTCTCTCTCTCTCTCTCTCTCTCTCTCTCTCTCTCTCTCTCTCTCTCTCTATCTCTTACTCTCACTCTCCATCTTGCTTACTCACTTGCATTTCTCCTTCCTCCCTCCCTCCCTCCCTCCCTCCCTCCCTCCTTCCATCATGTTCACTGCTCCGTCTTTTTCCTTTCAGGAATCGTCGCCTTTAGACAGCACCTTCAGAATCTGGCGCGAACCAAAGGCATCCTGGAGCTGAACAAAGTGCAGTTGCTCTACGAGCATATAGGCTCAGAGGCCGACCCCAGTGTGGCGTCAGCCACTCCGCCGCTCCAGGACCTTCCTAGCAGCTGTCCCCAGGTGGGTTCACCGGGCACTGCTCCCGGGGCTTGGGGTGTCTCTCACCCAGATGGGTCCTTGCGGTTAGAGATTCCCTTCGTCCTGGAGCAGATAGGGGCCTTGGCAGGCAGCTGCCCTCCTGGAATCTTGCTTGAGCCTGGGGGGATGGAGGCCCGCACCTCCTCAGCCTGGCTGAGGGAGGCTTCAGTTGCCTCTTGGGGTGTCTCTTGAAGTCCTCTCTCCTGCACACACACACACCAAAATGAAAAATGAGAAACTTCCCCGAAGGGAGAAGCTTCTACTACCGCTTTTGATGCTGCCGCTTCACTAAGCTTTACAAGTGGAATATTTATGCTAAAAATGCAGAAAAATTGCTTTTTGTTTTAAGCCGGTGGACGCGATCGAGCCCTGTTTCCATGCTGCAGAGTTCTGGTACTTGAGTTTCTGGGGAAGGTCAGCGCCTCCAGGGGATGCCAAGAACCTTTGCTCCAGGCTGAGACACACACACATTTTCTGCAGGGACATTAACCCTCGGCCTCCTCATTAAGTGCAAAGCTTTGCCTGCGCGGTCTCGTAGTGGTAGACTTCCTCTTGGACATTCGCCAGCTTGCCTAATTAAGAAGTGAAACTTTTTCCCACCTGGAGAACTGAAAGTGTTTGCACCCCCTCGCTCCGCAGGAGGAAGTTTCTCCGCAGCCGAAGAGCGCGGCGGCTCTCCCCGGCGCCGTGCGCCCGCAGCGCCCCCAGCGGCCGGGCCTGGAGGCGCAGTACCTGCAGCACCGTCTCCAGGTGGGCCGCTTCCTCCTGCCCCTGCCGGCCGCGCCCTGCCGTGACCTGCTCGCTGCGCTCGGGAACCTGTTTGGCATGCTCCTTCTTCTTTATTAGGGTGGCTTCTTGATTCCTTTAGGCAGGAATTTGACTCTGCACTTGTACGTTCTAGAAACATGTTGAGACTTAGCCTTATACTCCGTGTTGACAGCGGGAAAGGGGAAAAAAAAAACACATTTGTCCTTGGGCCCCAGTAAAGGGTAATGCCATAGTGCCACTGAGAGGTGGGAGAGAGACACCTGGCTTCCATGCTTCTAATGTGACTCCCTGTAATGAATAATAAATAAGATGGAAATCTCTAGTGCCAGAAGCGTCATATTAGCTCCACACTGGGGCCTGGTAATCTTCAAAAATGACACGCAGCAGTGCCCTACAGAATGAATTGTTTTTCATTCAGCAGATGCTGCAGTCTTTGGCCTCCCCCCAGCCTCCCAGTCCTTGAGGACTTCCGGAAGTGGAAAGGGAAGTAGGTTAGGGCCGAGGTGCCTGACTGGCCTGGACCCAGCCAGCGCCTTGGGGCTCAGTGAGCAGTCAGCCATCCCTGCAGTGGTGGGGGAAGGACTCTCCAGACAGCATCTGCGGCCTGCAGCCGGTGTGACACCACATTGTCACACTCGTACTGTCTTTCTGCTCTTCCAGAAGCCAGGGCTTCTGTCCAAAGCCCAGAATACCTGTCAGCTTTATTGTAAAGAACCTCCCCGGAGCCTTGAACAGCAGCTGCAGGAGCACAGGTGAGGGGGTGGGGGTCTGACCAAAGAAGTCACTTTCTCATGCCGAGACTGAAGAAGGTGGGATTTGGGGGCCAGAGACACAGCTCATGAGCTAGAGCATGCATATTGCCTGCACTCGGCCCCAGGTTGGCTCCCCAACACTCAGCACTGCTGGGTGTGGCCCCCATCAACCACAAAGAATGTGGGGTATGCCACCCTGGAGCTCCTGTCTCTGGGGCGGTGCTTTGAAACCTGAGGCCGTCTGCAAGATGCAATGGCTAACACAGAGACAGCACCCCTGCACGCTCCTCCCGTTGGGTTAGGAAGAGACCTAAGATCTCTGGACTCTGACCAAATGAATGCCATTAAGTGAGTCATGCTGCCAAGGGGGCTGCACCCCTCCTCCCACAGGAATCCTGTCCCCCCACAAGCCCAGGTAGAGAACCCCAGATCCCCTCCAGCAGACACTCAGGGTCAGCGCTGCAACTGAGATACCAGCTTCTGCCTTGCAGGGAGGGAAGGAAATGGCATCTTAGAGAAATGAGTCAGTGGGCGTTGAACCCTGAGGGGTCAGTGAGAAGGGGGCGGGGGGCCGCAAAATAAGATTGGGTTTGAGAAAATGAGATGCAGTCGGTTCCTTCCCCACTGAAACAAATGCTGCCCCTGCCACGGGAAAGAGAAGCAGGACTGCGGCTAGGGACCGAGTCTGGATTGCCATTAAGATCACCGTCGCCCCAGAAGATTTACGATTCTCTCTTTTGGTGTTGCCAATGCAGACTTCAGCAGAAGCGGCTCTTCCTGCAGAAGCAGTCCCAGCTGCAGGCTTACTTTAATCAGATGCAGATAGCGGAGAGCTCCTACCCGCAGCCCAGCCAGCAGCTGCCCCTGGCCCACCCGGAGACGCCGCCGCCTTCGCAGCCGCCGCCCTTCGCCCTCACCCAGCCCCTGAGCCCCGTGCTGGAGCCCACGTCGGAGCAAATGCAGTTCAGCCCTTTCCTCAGCCAGTACCAGGAGATGCAGCTGCCGCCCCTGCCCTCCTCGCCTGGGCCCCGCGCCCCCCCTGCGCTCCCCACACACTTGCAGCCGCCGCCACCGCCACCTCCTCCGCCTCCACAGCCACAGCCGTCTGGAGCTGCCTCCGCGCCCTTACAGTTTCCCTACCAGACTTGTGAGCTGCCGCGGGCTGCGGCCTCTGAGCCAGACTATCCCGCGCCCTGTCAGTACCCCATGGACGAGGCCGCGCAGAGCAGCATGGGGCCGCCCGAGGATCCCCAGAGCTCAGGACTGCAGGAAGCCCCCGCCACCTACGACCCTCTGGCCCTGTCGGAGTTCCCTGGACTCTTTGATTGTGAGATGCTGGAGGCTGTGGACCCCCAGCACAACGGCTACGTTCTGGTGAATTAGTCTCAGCACGGGAGCAAGGCAGCTCAACTGAAGGAAGAGTGTCTATTTGCAGTCCAGCCTTTTAAATTCGAAGCTTATTTTTCTGCCTTCTCTCTAATGGGGAAAAAAATCAAGTTGCCCAACTGGAATCAGAGAGCCTGGCTGGGTCGATGTCACTCCTTCCTGGCCCCCTCCACCCACCCCAGTTTTCTGTAGTAAGTGCTGGAACATAGTTGTTAAGCTGAAGTTCGTGCTCTCTTGGTCCTGGGAGGAAACTCCCGGGAGGCACCCACAGATGTGCTTGAAAGATGACATCCAGACCCAGGCCATGTGCTGAGCTGCCCCAGTCCACCACCGAGGGGGACCCTTGATGATTGTGGGGAAATGTGGGCCACACCCTGTGGGCAGAACCGACAGGGCAGTGCATTTTCCACTGAAGCCAAGAAACAGCGTGTCGCTTAAAGGAAGTCATGAGTACCTTTGGTAAAATCGGAATCACGGGAGGCAAAGGTGTCCTTTGTCACTGCATCCTGAGTTCTAAGCTGCTGGTGCCCGTTCTCCCGCGTCCACGACACAGCAGGAGAGCCTGAGCTCCGTTGGGTTTGGGGGAGGAGGGGCTGCTAAAATAAGAGCTGGTACTGACCCCGGAGACTGGCAGCAGGCAACACACCTCTCCAGAAGGTGCCCTGGCCCCTGGCGTCAGCGTGTACTCAGGGCTTCGAAGATGTTGCCTGCAGAAGTGACCGTGGGCCGGGTAACACAGGCTCTTCCTGTGGCCTTCGGTGGAGGCTTCCGGTTTAGGCAGTCGGTCTCCAGAGGCCCGACTCTCACCGTGGAATAGTTACTTTGACTTTACACTCTCTGTTGCTAGTAGTTTATTGAGCTTTGTATATTTGGACAGTTTGACATAGGGCTTAGAAACTTTAAGGACAAGAAAAATGAACTTTTATCTCCCATGTGAAGTGGTAGTGCTGTGCCTTTTCTCCCCAGATCATGCTTTAATTCTTTCTTTTCTGTAGAAACCAACACTTTTCCATTTCTGTCAATGCTAAATCCAAAGTCACTTCAGAGTTTGTTTTCCACCATGTGGGAATTGCATTCTTAATTTCCTTAATATTTTGATTTGTAATGAAATGTTCAAGTATTACAGCAATATTCAAAAAGCCACAGACGTGTTAACCATTTAAGCAGATTATCTGCCAAATGTGTGATAGGACTAGTAAAAGCTTAACCTCGACCCTTAACAAGTCATTCCTCCAAGTAAGTTAAAAATAGATGCTCCAGCTAGTTAACTGTATGCCTAGAAGTAAGGAATAAACTGTCATTTGGACAGTAACATACAAGTGTTACAAATCCCAGTATTACACAGAAAAACTCGTCCTTTCTGTCCTTTGAGTAGCTTGTCCAAACAGCAGATGAATGCATTAAGCACAAAGCCTCTTCCTTAAAGCACAGAGAAGAGAGGCGTACATTGATGCTGCATCTAGAAACACCTTTAGTTGCCTTTCCTCTTTGTAGCAAGTGTTCCGGCAGATGAGGAAAGCACGGAGGGTCCGAGGAGGCCCAGCCCGGTCCCTGCATGGCTTCCGGTGGGGTGTCCTCTGGATGTCAGCAGCGAGGGGTGGTGTGGAGAACTGTCAGTTCTGTGATCTTAAGCAGCACAGTGAAGGTCCAGAACGAGCCTCCCTTCTGTGGGTCGCTTGTTTCTTCCTCGTGCTTGTGATTGATGGTTTTGTCAGATAGATGACATTTCATTGGAGAATTTCGACCTCTAACCTGTTTTATGTCTGTGTGAAATAAGCCAGTTATAAAACAGGGCTGGTTTAGGCTGACAGAATATGTGTCCTGAAAATTTACTACAAATGTGCTATAATATTTATGAAGTGAGGAAGCCTTCTGGATTGAAAATGAGGACACTCATTTTTTAGTAAATGAGTACCTTCCCAAGAAGAGTGCCACTACCAATCATTGAACAGGAAATGATGCCTGCTCCCTCCCCCCCCACCCCCACCCCAATAAAGCCACCAGCCAGGTAACCTCCCTGAAGCTCAGGCAAGGCTTACAAAGGAAAGGCTGCTGAAGGGTCCAGAACCCACGACAAGAATGAGGAAGTGCCCACGTGAGGGCAGAGACCCAGCTGCTCAGCCTCTGTTTAAGCTCCAGTTTGCTTTTTTCAGTGATTTCAGTCGGAAATCAATAAATTCCATAAGCGTATGCCTTGAGCGACGTTGTGCTGGTGAGAGGAGACTGGTTCTGTTGGTCAGTGAAGGTGTTTTTCTCAACAGTCTTGTCAGTTCTGTTGCTGTCCCCTAACTACATGACCCGTGGAAGCTTCCGAGTAGTTTTCTCTTCACAAATACTAGAGTAACACTAAGGAGGATGAGAACCACTCTTTGTAGGAGAGGCGACTTTGGAATAATGACTTTCTTTCCCGTCTGTTTCACATTAGCAGTGTACACTACTGTATAATAATCATTAGCTTTATTATCTTGTAAACCAGGCTCCTCTGAAGAGACTTTGGTGAGATGAACGTGAGGTAAAAATTTTCATTCGACAAAAAGTGCAATATGTGTGGTACTTTATTTTTGATGTTTCTCTCTTTCTCTCTCTCTCTTTTTTTTTTTTTTTTTTGATCCCAGGGCTGTTAGTCTTTGCTTTTTGGAAAAAAAAAAATGCACTAGTTCTGTGATTTCCAGTTGGCCAAGTGAGTCTTTAGTATTTACATAAAACTGATATGCAGGGCCCTGAAAGGCAAATAGAGCATTAACACTCCAGAAGGAGATTAGTGTTCCAGTCCGGATTCTTGGTGAGCGATTCCACCCCTCACCACCACTGCCCCTCCCTGGCCTGCGTTGCTCCCAGTTACCTTGGGAGTAGAGAAGGTTCTCCGCCCTGATGTCCCTCCAGGAGCCATTTAATGGGAAATATCTGGGCCTGACTGAGGCTGCCCAAGATGGGACGAAAAGGGCTTCTGGATCGGAGAAAGCAGAACCTCCTCCATTCTGTATTCTGCCTCCGAGGGGACTGGAGAGAGCACAACACTTTCTTCCCCAGAAATAAACGGCTCCAAGATGATAAGCAGTCATCGTGGCAGGACCGGCGGGGGCCTGGGTGGGCTGAGGTCAGGGGGCCCTGGCCATACAGCAAAGAAGCAGCACTTGTGGGAACGTCGTTCTTACCCACACAGGCCTCTACAGAAGAGACTCAGGACCACTGGCTGCCCCCAACCAGCCCCCACACTGTTATCAGTACCCAGAAAGTGGGAACACCTAGAAAAAAAGGTGCAAAACAAGGAGAGTTGGGCCAAGCTGGAGCTGGCAGGGTAGGGAGAGCCGCAGTGCTGGTGCCGGCGGGGAGAGGCACTTCCTCCAGGGGGGCCTCCAGCAGCTCATCAGTTCCAGGGTACTTCTGGATCCGGTCCTATACTGGGGTCATGTTTTCTGTTCTTGATGACATTCCACACCCTTCATCTACATTTACTCTTCCGTTGTCCACTGGTGTTTAAGAAATAATACAATGCATGCTCCAGATAACCTTCGCCCGGTCCCCTCTTCCAGGGACCTCACACAGTGCCCTTTGGCAATATGGCGGCCCCCCATGAAGGCTGGCAGTTCCCTGAACCCACTGACCTTGGCTGCATCTGTGCCCCTAAGCTGGGCTGCCACTACGGCCTCTTTGGACACCATCCGAGCTGCATGGTCCCTATGTGCCTAGACACCGAAGGTCAAAACTGGAGAGCAGGGAGTACTTTGGGGTCATTGAATAGCAATCTCCAATTGTTCTGTGGCTTCTAGAAATTCATCTTTCAGAATTTACACAACTGTTCTTTCTAGTGGTGTGTGGAAGACCAGGGCAGTATCTGCCTCCGTTTCAGAGCAGGACAGAAAGCATCTTAAGTGGACACGTTCCTCACAGTGTCAGGGGTGCCCCTCCCGGGCCACTGCCCCCCCCCAGGGTGTGACTGACTTAGAGCTGCAATACTGGGGCTGCTCCCCAGGCCCGGAGGGCCCCTCACCAAGTGCTCCCCCACTTCCCAGTCAAGGTAGCTGAGCTGGTTCCTGAAGACACAGCCGCCCTCATTGCACCAGCTTCTTCTTGTCCACACGTCAGCAGGGCATTGCAACACACTTGGCAGATCCGGGCTCTGCCTTGATTGAGAAAGAGCAGCGGGGCCTGGACTCAGCCCGCCTCAGTTCCGATGGTTCTGACCCTCCTCGGCAGCTCGCTGGCCCGGGAGGAGCTGGCCATGAATTGTGGACAGGCCTTGACCACGCACTTTCACACCCAATCTTGCCCAAGCCTCACAGTTCTTTGAAATCCATCGGGCAGGCTCACTTCTCAGTGTTGCTCCTCGAGGAAGCCAGCACACTCGGGCGAGGGGGGCTGCTGTGGGGCTCCCCAGCACAGTATTTTGGCCTCTCACTCTGTGCCCTTTCACCCCATCAGTAGCAGTTGACTAGAGCCAGCAGCTGTCTAAACAAAGCCCCCGTCGTAGCTGAGCACTGGGTGACGGTGACCTTGTCCCACTGTGCATTCCCTGCTGGACGGCTGCCTGCCTTCAGGGGAGAGGTGCCCTCCAGGTGGCAGCCGCAGCTGTGCAGGTGGCCCCGCATGAACAGGGCTGAGGCAGGCACCCCCAGATCAGCTGTCCTTTCTGGGACGCGTGAGTTCACACTCGGGTGTCCTGTTCTCCCAGTATCGTAGTGGAATTTCCCACAGAGGTATGTCATCAGGGACATCACGGGGGCCTCAGTCACCCCCTCGGGCCCTTAAACTCAACCCAAAGGAAGGGACTGGCTCTGAAGAGAATCCCCAGCGCGGCCTGGCCCCGGTGGCAGTAACTTGCCTTTGCAGCCAAAGGCCTGTCAAGTCCAAGTGCCGATGAGACTCAGTCAAAAAAATAATAATAATAACATACTTCAAATACTTTGTCTTTTCAGAGGCAAAGTGGGTGGGTCGAGGGGAGCTTTAAAAATAGAAGTACAACATAACATCCTGGAAAACTCTGACCCCAGATTGGAACACTCTTACATTAGCAAACACGATGAGTGGGCCTGCCGCGGGCTGTGTGATACCTGTCTGCTGGAGGTTGGCTCCATCAAGGAACTTCAAGTGGGGATCCCATCCCGTTCCTGATCGTCAAGAGCCCACCTCCACCAGAGTCTTTTCTCAGAATGAGGCAGAAAAGGATGCTGGCTACTCTCTAGGGACTACAATTTAAGAAATCACAGCGAGCGAGCTATTTGCACTTTGTAGAAAGGGCAAGATTATTTGCTTTTTTCTGAAGGGAATGGGGGTGGTCTTTGCTGGATGTTTGGTTTGGTTTGTGAAAGTTACTTTTGATAAAGTTAACCTGATTGTGGTTCTTTTCTTTTTTCTTTTTTTTTCCCTGTGAGCTTTTTTTTTTTCTTTTTAAATTACTGAAAGAAATCGGTGAGTTCACTAGCTTTGGTATTTTGAGTAAAATCATAATAGCTCCAATGTGGAAAAAAAAAATCGACACATAACCTGTCACTTGATGTTAGGAAATTGCCTAAAAAATGCAGTTTAATAAATAATCTTTGTATCAAACAGTAATTTAAATGGGGTAAATTTTTGCAAGGAAAAAAATGTACTGTTTTTATGTTTTCAATCTTCTTGAATTCAAATAAAAACTTGTTTTCTAAGAGCCTGTGTGATAGGACTGTCAGGCGAACTGCGCCTTCAGCAAATCAAGCCTGGTGGGGGGAGTTCGTAGAGTGTGGAATGGAAGGTGGGTGGAAGGTGGCTGCGTTCCCTGAGCACTGAAGCTCACTTCAGGCTGCAGAAAGAACAGCGGATAATGTTCTCATTGACGTCAGCAGGGTAAATAATACCTTGCTCTGAGATCGCCCGAGCACACGTCCGCACTGGAGAGCGCTGACGGAAGCAGCGCTGACCACAGGCTGCCCAGGGCCGGCCTTGCTGCTTCCGAGGCCTCTGCAGTGCAGGAGAGAGAGTGGGGAGCAGGGGCTGGGGTCCAGGCAGGGCAGGGAGGGGGAGGGGCTGCAGGCAGCTGGATGCCTCTTCACTGGGGTCTGCACACACACACACACACACACACACACACACACACACACACACACACACACACGACCAACCTGTCTCTCACCCCACACACACACTCCACACTCCACAGTGGCCTCTGGGACCAGGGAGTCCCTCTGCTGAGGTCTTTTTGAGTTGTTCTATGTGTGGGTCCTTTTTTGGTGCCAGACCCTGCGAGAACAGGCAGATTAAATTCTACTTTCTGGCAGCAAGTTCGACTTCAGATTTGGTTTCGCTCAAACAGCTCCAGCACAACCGATGCTGCAGAACGGAGGCCCCTCCCCCAAGTGCAGGATCCTTTGGGGGTGGTGCCCGGGGCAGGAAGAGAGAGGAGACCCCCTTTGTCAGCCTCATTCCTCAGGGCCCCAGCCGGCCACAAAGCAGCTCTTAACCCCCTGCTGGGCAACCTGAGAATTCGGTTCACTGAGTTTTTGTTTTTCTTTTTCTTTTTTTTCTTTTTGAAGGGAAACACTCAATTTCAGTCATGTTTTGCAAGCCTTCCCCTTTCCCACCAAATTTCTCCATCATTTTGGACTTGCCAAAAACAACCCCAGTGTCTAGAGAACAGGCAGGAATCATGGAGCTGCCCGCAGAGGCTGGAGCTGCGAGCCACCCCCAGGACTCCCTCAGCACAGTCGCGGCCCAAGGAGGGGTGTGGGCCTGGGCAGCCGAGCCCCACAGCTGACAGCACCCACACTTCCACAGGGATGCGGCATCTGCCGTGCTGTCCCCCGGGACCTGTCATCACCCAGTCAGCCCTGCCAGCTGTGCTCTGGCGACCGCCCTCTACCCGGAGCTTTCTCTGATCTTATGACAAGTTGGTAGAAGCCTCAGTCCCTTGTCCCATACAGCCAAAGCCAGATAATTAAAGAAGAGGACAAGGGCTGGAGCAATAGCACAGCGGGTAGGGCGTTTGCCTTGCACGTGGCCAACCCGGGTTTGATTTCCATCCTCGAGCACCGCCAGGAGTAGTTCCTGAGTGCAGAGCCAGGAGTAACCCCTGTGCATTGCCGGGTGTGACCCAAAAAGCAAAAAAAAAAAAAACAAAATAAAAGAGAGGACAGCTCGACTCCCCAGGTCACAATAGGAGCTTTCCTGTCCCCACTAGCCAACCCTGGGCTTCCCAGGGACCTGCCAACCAAGAGGACCCCTACTCCACCTGTGGCGCCAACATCCCAGACCAGGGAGTCTCAGAATTGTCCCCTGCACCCGGGACAGCTGCCGGGCCCTGTGCTGTTGCCCCGACCCCAGCTCACATCTGGTAGGGCCGCACTTCAAGTCAAGCGGCAGCTCCAGCTTGGCAGGATCTGTCCGGGCTTGACTGAGGTGACAGAGGGGTCGGCCCTCACTTCCAACTGAGTCAGAGGCCACACTGTGTAAGGAGCTGCCAGTCCCAGCTAAGGGTCCCCCGCAGGGAGCGCTGGTGCTCCCCTCTAAATTTCCAGGGGCCTCTTCATGGAGCTAATGGGCAGAGGCCGGAACCAGCAGAGAGGAGTCCCC